GTGGAATGGACCAGCTTGTGCTCAAGGCACGATTCGAGGAAGCCAAGAGCAAAGAGTCAGATCTGGGCCAGCTACCAAGTTAAATAAAGGGGGTGCTAATGGGGGGACATCTTTTGGAGCATCAAGAAAAGGTGAGGAAGCAGTCGTCAAGACCAGAGCACTCGACAAGAGGATGTGACCGACAAGTGTTTTAACTATGGAATGGAGGGACACTATGCTCGCAATTGTTCTTACCCAAAACAGAAAAAGGAAAATGTGGAAGCGTGGGGGAAGAAGAAGCCCGCCATAACGAGCCTGCGGGAGGCCGAGGGGAGCTCGAAGGAGGAGATAGAACAGTTGCGGCAACGTCTTCGAGAGTTGGAGATGGAGGCTGCACTGAAGAGAATGTCAAGCATTGAGGGAGACGACCAGAACGGAAGAGAAGACGAGAAGGGGCCCTACAGTCTTCGTGGACGTGGAAGTGAATGGGGTGAAGACAACTGCTCTAGTCGATACAGGGTCAGCGGCCACTATCATCTCACTGGACTACGTGATGCAGATCCTGGCAAGCCAGAGACACCCCAGTATTCCTATCGAGCAATGGCAGAAACAGACTTACAGAGATTGTTGGCACCTGATGTGGCTCTCAAGAGTTATGGGGGCCATCGTGTTGACATAGTATCGCAGACCTCACTCCAGTTAACCTTGGGAGAAAAACAAATTGATGCTTGTGCAGAAGGGGGCTCCAAACAACCTACTGTTGGGAACTGACACACAGCCAAGACTTGGGATAGCACTTGTCATCCAGAGAGTTGATATGCTCACCCATTCACCTGTAGCCACACAGAATGAGGACCGACACCTAGACGCTGGGCGGACAGAGATAAGCCCTGAGCCTCGAGAGGGTGAACATACTCAACTGCAAAACACCTGTGACAGCAGAGAAGTCGAGTTTTCGCCAGAGGACAACGCCACCACACGGCAGAACAGCTCTACCTTGCGTAACTCCGGAACACAGCCTCAGGACTATGAATCTCAACCCCAGGACAACTTCGGTGAGGGACACGCGCGATCCTCAGTGGAGGGTTGACCCCAGCAGCTGGCAGAGTGGGAGACCAGGGGGAAACGCCACTCACAACCGGGGTGGTTCGACTGTTACAGACCATTAAACTGCCAGCTGGGTACAAGAAGATTATCCGGGGACGCATTCAGAAGACAGCGGGGGACAGACCACAACGTTGTTCACGCCTTCCATTGAAAGACCAGATGTGAGTATAGCCGATGGAGTCATTGATTGTGAGGAATGTGCTACCCTCATCATTGAGAACCATGGGACGGAGAAGTTGAGACTCAAGAGCGTGTTGGGCGTTTTGGAAACGGTGGATGTGCTTCCCAGTACAGGGGGGACAGGGGCAGGGGTCAAGCGGGATTTGCAACTGAACAGCGACCATTCAGGAGGGCCGATGGCTATACTGGACGCTACCCCATCATCAATGGAGACGAGCCTGCGGTGAACAGAATAAAGGGGGAGACACGCCGCCGTTCGGCAAAAGTATTGGAGAAGCTGGAGCTAGACAGTGAACAGTTCGACTCCGAGGAGAAAGCTCAGCTCAGAGCCCTGTTGGAAGCATACGCAGAAATCTTCGCACTCGAGCCTTCGGAGCTGGGTACTTCGTCTATAACCCAGCATACCATCAGTACTGGAGATTATCCTCCCATCAGGCAACCACTCAGACAGATGCCATTCACCCTACGTCCCCAAGTAGACAAACTGGTGCAAGACATGTTATATAGCTTAAGGGGTCATTCAACCATCATCAAGCCCATGGGCTAGCCCTGTGGTGCTCGTCAGAAAGAAAGACGGGACCATGAGGTTCTGCGTGGATTACAGACGTCTGAACAGCATTACAAAGCTGGATGAGTTTCCACTTCCACGTATTGATGACACCTTGGACACCCTCGCTGGAGCCAAGTATTTTACCACGTTGGACATGGCGTCGGGGTACTGGCAGGTGGCTATGGAACCCTCCTCGATCGAGAAGACCGCATTCATCACGTACTCGGGTCTGTACGAGTTTCGTCGAATGCCGTTCGGTCTGGTGAACGCGCCTGCGACCTTTCAGAGGCTCGTGGAGCTCGTGTTGGCTGGACTTGCTCGCAGCAGTTGTCTCGTGTACCTCGACGATGTACTAGTCATTGGCTCCACCTTGGAGGAGCACAACCAGAACCTCGAGAAAGTCCTTGAGCGCATACGTCAAGCCGGACTCCGTCTGAAGCTCAAGAATTGCAAGTTTGCACGGACGAGTGTGGTCTACCTCGGGCATGTTGTCACCGAGGATGGGATAAAGACTAACCCACAGAAGATAGAAGCCGTACGAGCCTATCCTGTGCCCAGCAATGCCAAGGCACTACGTTCCTTCCTTGGATTGGCTTCATATTACCGGCGGTTTGTACCTGGGTTCTCCAAAGTCGCAGGGCCACTCCATGCCCTGACAAAAAAGGATGCTCTATTTATATGGGGACCAGACTGCCGAACGTCATTCGAGACACTGAAGCAACTCCTGACTGCCTCTCCAGTTTTAGCAGTTCCTGATTTCTCTCGACGTTTCCTCCTCGAGACCGATGCCTCCGGTGCAGGATTGGGAGCTGTGTTGGCTCAAGAACAGTCTGATGGTACGAAGAGACCCATTGCCTACGCCAGTCGGTCACTACTGAAGCATGAGAAGAACTACGGAATAAATGAACTAGAGGGACTTGGAGTGGTGTGGGCAGTGAAGCACTTTCGTCCCTATCTCTATGGGAACCCGTGTGTAGTTTACACCGACCATCAAGCCCTAAAGTCATTGCTGAACACGCCACAGCCATCGGGGAAGCTGGCCCGGTGGGGCATGGCCCTGCAAGAGATGGATATCACCATTCAGCATCGCGCGGGAAAGCACAATGAGAACGCTGATGCTCTCTCACGGTATCCTCGCACACAGACAGTGGATGAATGCGCTGACCCTACGGATGGAGTGGTGGCTTCCTTAACCGAGGAAACTAGTGAAGACCTGGCCTCCCGCCTACAGAGACGAGATGAGGAGCTCAGCGAAATCATCATGCATCTACCTGGAGACGGGGATACTACCGGAAGACACCAGACGGGCAAAACGCTTGGCACTGACTCAGTCTCAGTTTGTGCGTGAGGACGAAATTATAATAATAATACTGGGTTGCTGGAGAGGCCACGCTAAGAATCATTCCACCTGCCCGTATGCGTCGGCAACTATTTCAAGAGGCCCACAGTAAACAGTTTGGAGGCCATCTCGGCAATGCAAAGGTGCCACAGTCAACTCCAGAAGCATTACTGGTGGAGTGGAATGCGGGCAGATATTATCCGATGGAGCCGAGCCTGCCTGGTGTGTGCTACCTACGGCAAGGGTAGAGCAGCTAGACCTCCTTTGTCCCCAATACCAGTCTCGGGACCCTTCGACCGTGTAGGGGTTGACGTCATTCAGTTTCAGACGGCAACCAGTAGAGTAGCTCATCAATTATCGGACACCATCACCCTGACATAGCCATTTCTCTCGGACCAGACAGAGTTAGCTATCCTCGCTACGTTCAGTACCTCAGAGGGTGTCACTCAAAAGGCATGCACGGTACCAGCTTCGGCAGAGGGACAGTAACGCTACGGCGGCACAAAGATCGCTCACTGTCCGAACCACCGTCAGTCGGAACATGGCCCCTATGTTCGGACAGTGCATTTTAAAGCTAAAGAGACAGCGCTATGTACTCAGAAAACCTCAACACTATAATACCACAGCAGAACACGCAGTACGGCGTCGTACAGCTGTGCACTAACAACAGCCGGAATTTTGCACAAAGCATACGCCCACTTAATTGTGCGCATGCGCTTGTCTGTTCCAACCGATTGCGCATGCGCATTTTAGGTAAATAACGCGGATCCCGAAGGGACGAACTTACGGCATATAACTCGCCTTGCCCTTGCAGTGAGTTGTAGGTAGACAAGACATTGCGGTCCGATAATTCGAATGTGTCCGATAAAGAGTGGTGTCCGGTGATTGATGAAGTACTCTATGCGGTCGCGTGTTCATGGATTATCTGACTAAATGGCCTGAAGTTTTCGCTGTATATACCTGATCAGTCAGCTGCTACGATCGCCCGTCTGCTAGTGGAGGAGGTGGTGAGTCGGCATGGAGTGCGTGCCGAAATTCTCTCCGACAGAGGTTGATCCTTCCTGTCAGCACTGATGAAGGAAGTAGAGACACTCCTAGTATTCCACAAGGTGAATACCTCGGCCTACCACCCTCAAACGGATGGACTTGTAGAGAGGTACAACCGGACCCTGGCAGCAATGCTCGCGAAAACAGCTCAGGACAGTGGGCGGGACTGGGACAAGAGGTTACCTTATGTGTTATTCGCGCGTGCGCTACCAAGAATCTACCCGTGAGTCACCGTTCTTCCTGGTCTATGGGAGGGACCCGAAACTGCCCACGCCAGCTGTTTTGAACCCGCAGAAAACAAGAGCCACCGTGGATCTGGGTATTGAGCTACATAGTCCCATGTCAGCAGCATGGGAGCTAGCAAGACGGAATGTTGCTCGGGCTCAGAAGCGGCAGAAAGCTGTATATGATCGGAGGAGTCGACCAGCGAGGTTCCGTGAGGGAGAGGGTCTTGCTTTTGAAACTTGCTGAGAAGACGGTGCAAGCAAGGAAGTTTGCGAGACCTTTCCATGGTCCCTACAGAGTGGTGGAAATTGACAGCAACACTGCTAAGATCTGTCGAGTAGACAAGCCGAACGAGGAACCCATCCTGGTTGCTCTGGAGAGACTCTGTCGATGTCCGGAAGAGATAGGAGACGAGTGTTGGCCCCTGGCCAAGACTAAGGGGGCGTGGGAAGACCAAGCGGCCAGGGAGCACCACCGCTGAGCCACAGCCTGAACCACCAGAGCAGATCAAACGTTCATCCGGAGGGACTGATCAGTCTTCTGATATGGAGGTGGACCAGGCTGAATCACCTGATGGTACTGGAGAAGAACCCAACTAGTGGTCCATACCAGGACACTGACCCGGAGGACCCACCAGAGGAGGAGAGAGAAAGGGACACAGTGGGGGCGGGTGGGGCTGAAGTTGTGGTGGAAGGATGTCCTGGGGGATCTGTTGCACAGGGGACAGGAGCCCCGCTGGGGGATATGCTGACGAAGGAGTTGAAGGACCAGGACGGGAGAGGCTTTCCACCTCAAGGGGCGCGAGCGACGAAGCAGAGGCCTTCGACTGAACCAGCCAGAGTCTGGGAAGGCCGCCTACGGAATAATCGCTACCCACCGAAGAGACTGCTTGCCAAGGACGGCTGTAGCTGAGGAGGGGGAGATATGACAAACTGACCTCTTGGTGACCTTTCATTGTGCACATGTGTGTGTCACCTATCGTTACGTAACCAATCACCCCATCACGTGTAGTCATCAGTATAAATTGTGCGTGTGCTGAGGGTATGAGAGAGTTCGGATCTGCACGATTGAGAAGAAGGGCAGAAGGCCCTGAGCTGTCGGGGACGTAGTGTTACAAGTGCAAACACTTAGCGCACGTGCAAGGGTGGCACCACTGACTGACTACATAAGTTTAAACTCTCTTGTATTCCATTTTACCCAGTTTTTCTTTTTTTTTCTCAGCATTATCTCCCACAACCTCTAATCAGAGGGGGCACATGGTTTGTTTTAATTTTTAGGTTGAGTATAGTGTGGTGCGTTTCTATATTGTAGTGGCCACGTCCAGTGTTGGGGTAGCTCGTACACTTCAGCTGGCTGACTCAGAACAAGGCATATAAACTGTGGTTGTTTTAAAAATCATGTGGCACACTATTTGCAGTTCCAGGCATGAAGGAGGGAGAGAATAGGCCGCAGAGAAAAGGTACGGTACAATACCATGTAAGGCATTTTTACATTCCTTCACTCTAGTGCAAACACGTAGCACACGTGCAAGGGTGGCACCACTGACTGACTACAGTAAGTTTAAACTCTCTTGTATTTCCATTTTACCAAGTTTTTCTTTTACTCTTTTTTCCCAGCTTATCTCCACCAACCTCTGATCAGGAGACACATCATGGCTTGTGTTAATTTTTAGGTTGAATATAGTGATGTGCGTTTGTATTGTAGTGCCCACGTCCAGTGTTGGGATAGCTCAGGGCAAGAGCACACTTCAGTCAGAACAAGGTATGTAAACAGCTTGTGGTTGGTTTAAAAATTATGTGCCACACTATTTACAGTTCCAGGCACGAAAGATAGTAAGAATAGGCCGCAGAGGAAAGGTACATTGTTTTACATGGTACAGTACCATAAGTGCATTTTTACATACTTCACTCTAGTGCAAACGAACTTAGTCACACGTGGCATAGGGTTCTTGGCACCACACTGACTGGAAACTACCAGTAAGTTTGTTATTGTTTGTTTAATTTTAGCTCACAGACCGGTAGTGCTGTGCGGAACACTGTGAAACATTATCAAGAGCAGGATATTGCTTTGTGAAAGTGCGATTGCACCCACAGACTGCTTGTGCATCATCTGCCTGTGTGTTTCATCTTGTAAAGATATCTTTACACAAAAGACAAGAGATGGAACCTTTTACTGTTGCTAATGCTTGTTTGTGACTCACTCGTCTAGTATTGTTTCTACCTCTTTAGTAATGCGCTATGCGCGTCGATACGCGAGGGCCGGAATCTAAACCTTGCAAACGCGTATGGATTCTCGCTCTCGCACTTGTTATTGTATACAGTGGAAGAGGGGTAGTCTTACGTTGAGCTGCTGCTGTGTGAGTTTGGTGCGTGTACAAGTGAGAAGCAAAGAAACGGAGCCGTCCGACAAGTGATATTTTGTCGATTGTTTGAGTCTGTACGACGTTGTACTTTGTATTATAGGAAAACCGCATCCGCATTGGAAGCAGCCCACGACGGATAATTTTTTTTATAGGATCGAGTAGAGTCAGTATGTATAGTAGCAAAGTACCTACGGTAGTAGTAGGTCAATGTGAAGGCTTGTGGTGATGTGTAAGTCAGACTCGCACTTAGCGCCTTGATATCCAGAGGTAGTATGCTAGTGTCCGACCATTGATGGCGGCCGACTTTGATCGCTGTCGCACATCTACGAGACTTCAACTGCTAGTTGGACGACGTACTAATCGCTGTCCGTCTCAGTCTCTATGTACGCGTGTGCAGAGGAAGAAAAGAAGAAAACTATCATATCTATAACAAAGGTAAGGCGCTAAGAAGCGGATCATCCCTGAGACTCGAGATTTGACACAGAATGAGACAGTGAGTAACATTGCTGACTACTAAGTAGCGTATTACCTTGTATCCTCGGACACTTTGTCGTAAGAAGCTAAACGACATCTTATTGTCAGCGTGCTTAAACGCTATGTCTAGCTAGATAATAGTATCGTGATTAGACCGCTACTATGGCACGGCACGATCTATTCATGGCAGAGCTTGGCTTAGTAGCTATCAATGTCTACAGCAATCAGCAGTAATGTCGCTTACTATCCTATCATACTCTCTTGCTGCTTGCAGGGTGTGGGCCAGAGAGAGATGGTTGATTGGTTTGTGTGGTCCTTACCGTATCATATAGCTGTGTACGCAAGTGTGTGTAAACCTTGTCAAAATCTTTTCCAAAATGAGGGTACAGACGTGGCTGCGATCTGAATGAAGGCATAGGGCAGTTTGTTGCTCAAGATTTTAGCAAAATTGTTGCACTGGAGCAATATTATATAGCCATGCCAACTTTTTAATACATGAAACCATGAAATTCGTCTGAGTAATAAACGGCGGCTACATGCTAAGTGGCTTTGCTGTCACCGCGCAAAACCAACAGAATCCGTCAATATTCGGAGTGGTCTGTTACCACGGTTCGCATGCGCAGCGAGGGTAGGGTAGTTGGGTCTGTGTGTGTCTGTGTCTGTTTACTCAACATCTCACTTCTCAATGCTGTTCGTCTCACAAACGATACGACCGGCCAATGAAGGTCAGAAGTTTCGAGCTGGTTTTGGTTTTATCTGAAAATACGGACATTCGCATTTTTCGTTCCCGTTCCCCATTTCTCATTCTCGTTTCCGTTTATCGTTCTCGCTTCGCGTTTCTCGTACCTCGTGTCGCATTCCGCTCGTTTCCAGTTTGACGTGCTCTCACATCTCGCGTTTCTCGCTAATATCTCGTTTCTCCGACAGCCGGTCCATTCGGACAGTCTTGCGGGCCATATGCCACACACGGCAGGGCAAGTTTATGCTTGGTCATTCGTGGGCGCCGAATGCAGTGAGAGCGATGGACAGTGTGTTACTACTGTAGTGATGTTGTTGGAGATACGAAGATTTTATGAAACCCTCGGCGCGCTATGCGCAGAGAGACTGGTTGTCGTCCTGCAACACGCGCAAGAGATAGATTTGAATCAGGAAGTAAATACCAGGACAACGTCATGCATTCGGCAACCAACGTGTTCAGAGCTCCACTGGCTGTTGACGACAATTTCGGAGATCAGGTTATAGAAGTGCCGCGTCAAGAATAGTTATGGCCCAGCGGACCAAACGAACTGTGAGATCAAGCCAATATGGAAATTACGACCGATTCCGAGAGCGGGCAAGGCCAAACGATGCTGCTTTTCTTGGTCAAGAGGTAAAATACGAGAAGACAAGAAACGCCCCCGCCCGCGAAGTCCCTCACGACAATATACCTTGGTCTTTCAAAAACGACGATTAAGAGATGGAGAGGGGTATGGGCACAAAATTCACCCTTTCCGTGCGACTTTTTCTTCTGGTCTAGCTTCAACTACTAACTTCATGGGCGCAAGCTCCTTAACTCATCAACCTGACATGACAACGCCCATAAAATACCTCTGTTCTTGGCTTAAACCATTTTACCTGTGGTCCTTAAGCTAAGTAATGGTGATGGTTGTATACGTAATACGGTCTTTTGAGTTCTCGGGCGCCGCTCGCCAAAAGAATGCTCAAGCAAGTTTTCCACTAGTAAGAAGCGCGGTAAAATAGTAACGCAAATGCGCACTAAGTCGAGAAAAAACTACGGTGCGGTCATTGGCGAGCGGGGGAGCGAACTAACCTCGGGTAAAAACGGAAACTGCGCGATAAAACGGAACCTTTCGTACGTCTGTTGCCACGGGTGCTTATTTTCTGATTTTTTATATATCCGAATATCAAATTTTTACAAACCGTAGTTTCTCCGTGTATAAAACTGGAAGGAATCCATACCACATTGTTTCCCTGCCGAATGGGAATCGGGTGATAGAGGGAAGTTTGGCCCCCTTCGAGAAGGGAAAGAGAAAAATACGTCGGGCCTCGTGAGACTTCTGAGCAAAAGAAGGCCCGCCCGTCCTTTTCCTCGCCGGGAAAAAACCTGTGGTTGGGATAGGGAAAAAACGGCCAAGGCAACCGACGGCGACTGTTGGGGCGATAGGGAACGGGCAAGCAAACGGCCTGGCAGGAACTGCGGAAGAAAAGGGAAGCACGCCAAGCGAGAAGTCGTGGTACTAATACAGCAAGATAGCCTACACGGTGCTGCGGAACTCAGGGAACACGCACAGGCCAAGGCTCCCAAACAAAAAGCCAAGCTAATCAAAGCAAGGCGAAATTGGCCCGGCCGAGTCCTGCCTGAGGAATAGAGAGGTTCGAACTACGAGTTAACACTCCCAGGCCCTTTTTTGCGCAATCAATGCCACACAATAGCCCTTCCCGCTCCGCCACAAATGCCCAGTGGGCAAATTCAACCCAAAAAAAAAACCTACAATTGCCGAGCGGGAAAGCGAGCCAACGTAAGTCGTTCCGTTGGGGGGCGTAAAACTTTTCTGTAATACACCTTAAAGTACGGTATTAATAATAGGGATTTGCCATGGTAAACCTTCCACATCAAAATAGATGTTAATAGGGGGCTAATGAAAGGGAAAGTTTTGTTCATCTCTTCTTCTTCTTCTTCTCCAACCAGCATAACCCAAAAACCGAAAGAGATAAAGCCATAAAATTTTGTAGGAATGTACATATCGCTAACCACATGTGCAACGTCATACTTTTTTGTTTGTAAACAATGTTGTTTATCGTAAACAACAAAATTGCCCCAGGCAATACATTATAATGGGCAATACGTTATAATGGGTATACTACATGTGTCAGTGTAACTCACAATTGGTAAGAGTTACGTGAGCGAAGTTTGTATACACAATGTATTCAATAGCCAACATCAAAATCACGAAAATACATGTTTGTAAATAACAACAAATAGCCTTAGGCACTTTTCTTTAAATTAACTTCTTCACTTCTCAAACTTTCCAATTGTAGCACGCATAGAGATGACACTTGGTACGTATGCCTATTA